GTGGTGGGTAAGGTTCAAGTCATTTAAGCGCTCGCTATCTGTCCCTGAGTGGCACGGCCTGCGGCTATCGGCAGCGGCCGTACTAACGGCCAGGTGACACCAGGGGCAGGATGGATCGCGCCGCACTTGGTGGCAGGTTACCCTCCGCCGCAATCTTTTGCCGTTGGCCCGGAATGTCACAATCGCATGGTGGGATCATAGCTCACGCAACAAGCGCTGCTTAGCGTGGGCGCCGATGCCAACTGTCCATCCAATCAAGCGATTAACACGCAAGTAGCCGAAGCCGAGTCCGGCCGTGTAAAACGGCTCAAAGCCGTAGCCGGTCCGAAGTTATCGAAGGGAAACTGCAACATCCAAACCCAAAGCGAAAGCAGTAGCCAAAGCCGTCGTCGTCCTCATGCCTGCTGACAGCTTATGTTTGTGCCGCCACGGATGCTCGGAGTAGTCGAGAACCTATCACGGTATTTATTGCTTGACTTATTGATTGGGGATGTCGAGCGAAGCTGCTACACGATCATATCATAGCGCCCATGGGTTTGCCAGACAATTCAAAAGTTTTATACAAGAGATGTGTACACGGAAGGCGCTACGGCGGACTGAACTAGTCCACATTTCCCGGTCGCAGCCACCAGGTTTCACCAGCTTCTACAAAGATAAAAGGCAATTGCTTCACGCGGTAGTCCGTTTCAGATGCAGGTGCGCGATTCCGCGGCTACGCAGTGGCTGATATTACGTTCATCACAGTGTATGGAGATCTTCACCATTAATTGCAGAGACGCGTGACGGAACTGACGCCGCGCAACCGGGCAGGTCTCTTGCGTTCGGCCGGCTTCGAGTAACATGCGAGGCGACCGCACAGGAGCGCTACTCCATGAAGCCTCGGCACGCAAACTGTCACTTCTTGCGGCTGGCCCACTCCCAGCATAAAGCTCACGAAATGCTCCGGCATCTTGCCACACTATTAACATTGAAAGAACGTGCCATGAAGAAGGGTTCACGGGTAAATGCACATGACAGCCCGGGGCGCGTGCATTGAGCGCCTGGCCAGGCCTCCATCACGTGCGGAGATCGGGACATCGATCACGTTTGGTCTGTTCCACAACGGAGGTAACCATTTTGGGCATCAATATTGCGATCATCGAGCCATTTGTAGCGGCAAAACCAAACGAGACAAAATAACGTTCACAAATTACCTGAGGGGTGACAGCACTGAAATGGCCAAGACTGCACGAGACGCAAAAAAAAAATCGGCGACGGTAATGCCCCACTACCACCAGACACAACCAAACGACACGAAAAAATCATAATAAATAACATGGAAATGCGCATGCTTACTTAGTGGATGATATCGCACGAAGTACTCAGCACTTACCTACCCTTTAAGTTCGACACGTTCCCATTAATTCCACCATAATCCATGGATGCTTTTGATTCTCTCGCCCACACAACTCGCTCACGGAGCTTCGGAGCAGGGCTATTCTCAATGCCAATACAAGTACGCCGTGCAAACTCTGCCTGTTCGGCATTTTCCTCGACGTTTCCCGGTTTGAATTTTCCTTTTTGCTGACCAGAAGCAGAACGACGTTTCCCGGCTTGAATTTTTCGTTTTGCTGACCGGAAGCAGAAACGAACGACAAAAAGACAGAAGCAATGGTGAGACCACGGCTACACCAAAACCATCGCTCTACATTGGTGGCGTAGTAAAATCTACATTCGTTGTCGCACGAAGTGACCCTGCTTTCTTCACCGATTCGCTACAGCCTTTTGATCCTTAGACCAGGCTTTACTTTCCGACGGCTGGTGTTATCTGACACGAACAATGTTGAGAGAGTTGAGCCAGTCGCATCACAAGCACACCAAAATTACTTTCACGTAAATTCCCAGTCTCGTCGGGATTGTGGGCAATGAAAGAGCAGACACCACAGCAAAGGCAACCGCGCGCAGAGGCCACCGCCCCCCGCCCTCCCCGCCATCAATATATTGGTTGGTAAAGTGAAGGCCGCACTTGTGACCTACATCCGCAAGTGGCCAAAACTTTGACGAACTCGTTCATCCGCTCAGAGCCATCAAACTACTTACTGGTGAGTGGGAATCGTTCCATCGTGCCATAGGCTTAGAGGTTGCTCTTTACCAACTGCGGCTGAGGCATACTTACACTAAGCGTTCCTTTTATTTATCCGATAATGACGCGCTTCAGCGCGGATAACACGGACAACGCTCGACTGACGAGCATGTTCTTGCCTCGTGCCGTCACTGTGCAGCGAATTGGAGGTGTAACTTCATTCCAGCGCATCTCTCTTGGCTTTTGGACCGTGACCCATGATGTGATATTGTTCACGCTCTCACATTCTTACCGCACGACTTAGGCGTTATTGATAGCCCTCCGACAGCGCGACTTTATTTATCTTAGATGACTTTTAACAGGAAGTCAGTACCCCTGACCTGACCGAGTAGGGCGGACATAACCATTCACGAGACCGCAAAATGGTCACGCGGTCCATGTACCGTAAACAACAACCATTATTATGAGTAGCAGTGTGGAAAACCGGAAAACGATCGTCGAGTGAGATCATAATGCAACTGGTCTCCTGTGCGATCACCAGGACTGCGTCCTCTGCAGTGGCACAGGCGCCGCTGGAATGGCACAAAGGATGGCTAAGCACCGTTCGGAGGCAGCTTGGCGTTGGGAGTGGCAGGGGTGTCGATTTGAGGGCCACACACCCAACGGTGGGATCGTAACTGGTAGCGGATCTGATTTAATGGATGGAGCGTGAGAGAATAGAAAACAAAACCATTTTTTCGTACAGCGCCATAGGCATGATGTTGATCCTCACGATTATCACGGGGCGCATGTCTCACTGCTCCCCACTACGGGAACAAACTATTCAAGTTATAATTTTTTATAGAGCGCGACGCACATCGTCACGTCTATTTCATGGCACATCAGCGACTGCACTGGCCATATTAGAGCTCTGGGCGATGGCGCATCCGGTATTCCACATGGGAGTCCAGCGCGTTAACCACTCAACCGTCACATCCCCTCGAGATCTAAGCCAAGGACTTGATTTATAACATGAAGTTACGGACCTTGCGCGCTTTACATTTGTATCGAAAGAATTCACGGACCGAAAGCAGTTCAGTCCATCTAATATTTCATCTTTGCCAATGCCCGTCCGGGTAGCTGGCTTGCTTGTAGCGTCTGTCTTCGGACTCCCCACCCATGGCGGGATGGGAACGAGTCGCCATTTGGCAATAACTGGGATGGCCTGCGGCGGGTGATAGCGGCCGCGCTAAAGATCAGGTAACTTCAGATGGTAAGGCATCCCGAGCCCAGCATTACGGCACCTTAAAACAGGCTGTAGAAGTCTCAGACATGTTGCGGAAACGACAATTTTTCGGGCGAATTCTCGCTCACCATCTTGGTCAATTTGACTTCCCATTCATGGGTATGCATATTTTGTTCGCTGATCCTCCTCTCGTTTCAAGGCATTTCGGTCTCCACCGCACCTTTGGCTGATGACATTTTGACTACACTGTCTTAAACTTTCGCCTGTCGGTAACCTGCATTTTCACGATCAGATGGAGGGGTCAGGACCCACACAAGCCCTGCTTGGCGGCTTGTCCTAGCCGCCCTGCTTTCCGGGCTCTGATCCCAGAGATCCCTCCAATCCAAAGGTTCGGACCAAGTCTCGAAAAATGGAAGATCGAAGACGATATCGATCGACCGATGGATCCACGAAAACGATATCGATCGACCGATGGATCCATTGAAAGATAAAGCAGCTTCATTTGGTTTCCGCCTCATATGCCTATATACAATTCAAAAACAAATAAGGTTGCAGTTTTGTGTCTTGCAATGTGTACTAAGGTCCAGCGCGCTTTCTGCTGGTGAGTGGGGCAAACAGGATATACACCTTCCTCACACCATCTCGGATCGGATCTCCGTCACCGCCTTGCGGAAGGGAGGCCCAATCAGCAGACTGGGCCACTGATCGGCCGACTGGGATTCGAAATGGGCGGACGGGCCCCCATCTTCCATCAGTCGGTGGCATAACCCTTGTCCCTTGCAGCTGCCCCCGGAACTTGTCTCGAAGTTCCGCACCGTGATTCCGACAGCACGGCCACGAAGGCCGCACAGATAACAAACTGCTGAATGCCTGCTGAACAGGCATGCACTAGACCCAGCTCGTCGATGGCGAACATCCATGATTCATGCTGCAAAGACAGCAATGAAATCCATCGCATATGAAAACCTCAACGGAATACCTTTCCACTAGGTATCGTTTACGTTGAAAAAACGCCCAAATTCGCTGCAAATAATACACGTTTCGCCGAACATGTCCGGCGTAGCAGCGAGAATCTTATCGAGAATCAAAAGAATCTTAGTGCTCGCACGGAAATTAAACCTCTCCGACTTCAGCGCACGGTCGGCACTAATTTCAGACAATACAGAACCAATGTTTCAAGGAACCGTGATGTTGCGGATCTGACTCCAGGCAGACATACTTCGACAACACTTCCCTGAAGCGAAACTTCAGCGCAATTTGGCACGACTTAAGTTTGACGCCGCGAGCGCGAGATTCGGCATGACACCGCTGCCGAGTGGGCGTCCGGCGCAGTGGACGATTTATGTGCAGATTGGCCACTGGGAGCAAGGTCACAAGACAACAACTGAGCCGAGATACGGTTTGATGAGATGTTCGGAAACATTTTGTTTCTCCGAGGCAGGTTGGGAATGGAGATGGGGATACGGTAAGGTGAGGGAGGGGGAGGGGCAGCGAGACGACAATCGCGCAGTTCATTGACCTACGCTGCCTTCCTCAGCGAACACGGCAACTGCGCGCTGCCAGTCGACAGCTATTTAGCTTGTGAGATGACTTCATCTATAACGCAGACGAGTATTCTGTTTGCCTGTTGGCAGTCTCTGAAAGCCAGGTAGCTGTATGCACGCCGACCCACTTTCAACACATTCCAACATCCAACACCGCCATTGCGCATACCTTTATCACTCCGCCGTCAGCAATTCCCTTCGTCGAGAAACGACGCCAATGTCCATGTGATAGTAAGCCATTAGCGCGACAAATGTATCTATAGCGCCAAGTTGTTTCAGGAATAAACTTCTGAATTCCTAATTTTGCAAATGCTACTCTACTTCATATGTATATACATGCTGGACTATGTGCAGCGAATTGGGGTAGTTTCATTTGATTATGCCCAGCAATTGCATGCTCTACATAACCTGTAATATGTTTGATGTCTTTGATTTTTTACGCTAAGTTGTTGTCGAAAATATTTTTGGTGCTATTCAGAATAATTGGGGAACATCTGTTTAAGGCTTTTCTCCGATATGTAAGTTCCAAAGATGCTTATTCGCTGGTGTCTTCGAACTCGTTTTCCCCGATAAAATTGAATTAAGAATTTTGGGATATCGCTTTCATGCAATTTTCATCCTTACTTTACGTCTGTTATATCTTAAGTTTTGTGGTTAAGGGATGGCTGTAATTGGTGATTGAATGTCAGTATCAAGAATGCGCCATTTTGAGCTCAGGCGTCGCCGTCGTCGATTTGGCGCTGGACGGGTGATGTGTCCGAAATCAGCACAGGAGAGGGCGGTTGACCTGCACTTCTTATGTTTTGTGTGATAAGGGGGCTTTACGAGACTTCCCGTCAACATATTTTATGTCGTGATCGCGCAGATGGATGACACCAGGACACCACTGAAGCTGGCGATTTCGTCCTAGAACGGTTTTAGTTCAGGTAGGCAATTTCTCGGTGCATGCGCAAGATACATGCGTGGGAATGCGTGTAACTCAGTTGGACTGTAAAGAATCAGGACATGCCCTAATAAACTGACTACTGTGCCATTTTTGCTGTTCATTTATGTTTTTGTTAAGTTTCGTTTTTCACTTGTGGCATTTCAGGCTAGATTAAGTTACTGAAGTTGCTGTCACCAGTTGCATAGTCTATACTATTTAAAGCTGCAAGGACTGCATGCATCACTAACCAGTTCTTGGTCAATGCAAAGCAGACCCAGAACTAGGTCTCCAACCCGAATAAACTTTAAGTGACTGTCAGCTGATGACAAACTTTCTTTAAAGTGCTCAATTTGACAAACACATTGTAGGTGAAAGCCAGGTTTTTAGGGTCATCAGTTACATAGTGGATCAGTCTACCTAAAGTAATTGTATCTGCTGGTCATACCAGATGTCTTCAAACAAATCAAGCGAGACAAAAGCTGGGGCATGTCAAAAAGTGTCCCAGTCATGCCATCCTAAATAAGGTGGGAGCCCTAAATAACAAGAATCTAAATCAAGCTTAGACCACATCTGCATTCATTGAGATAGGTCAGCATTGATAATTTACTCATGGGCAGGGGAAGTTGTGACTGATATTGTTGTTCCTCTGAACTCACTTCCATCTGATCTGAAAAGTTGGACACAATTTTTACATTTAAAATGAGAGCTTATGTTGAGTATGCTGCTAGAAAGTTAAAGCTAACTTTTAGTCAACTTTTACTTAACTTAACTTTACTTTTACTTTTTGCTTCTTCTTTACTTTTTACTTTACTTTAACTTTTAGTTAAAGCTAACCTGTGACAGTGTATAGCCTGTGATATGCAATAGCATGATGTAACATCTAATCTAATCTATTGATTCAAATGTTGAGCATACATTATGATACTTATGCACTTATCTAGCATGTAGCTATAAATGTTTTTAATGACATATGCATGCAGCTGTTTCCAAGCAGTGGACTCCTTTTGCTGAAAGCCTAGCACCAAAACCTAACAAAGTGCCCTGTTTTCCACATGGCATCCTTAGTTACTGGAACATGATTGTTTTAAACCACATCAAGCACATTAAGTAAATTAAACACATTAAACCACATACCATTAGCAGCAGGCATGTTCATAATTGACACAAATTATTGTCACATTTAGCTTGTTATCTAGCTAAAACTAATTTCTGCCACTTAATATGCCCAACCAATTAAAGCAGCATAACATAAAATGGTAAGTTTATTCACCTTGCATTACAACAAGGCCCTCTTACCTTATATCAACTTGAACCACTCTGGAGTAGAGCAGTTACAGTATTTACTAGTTAGCAGGTGCAAAGTAGATGCCAGGGAAATACAAAATATTATTGGTTACCCAGTGATTAAATCACTGGCTCATGCTCCAAGCAGAAAAGTTTGCTGCTCCATTTGGGGCAGGATTAAACCTTTCAAATTGTTTGCTAACTAGTCTGCCACCTTTGCAGACTGACATGCATATGTAGCAAACACTGATAGCTCTGCAAATGAAAAGAATTAACAGCAGCCAGTTCTGCTGCATATGGCATAAACCTGCTTGTTGCAACAAGTAGAAACTGCCTCTGTCCATTCTTTCTTCTTCTGGGCCAGGCTTCGCCATGTTTCTACCCTGGATCAGCAAGGGTTGACAGCATCCATCTCACTAATTTGTAATCTGATGTAAAAATTGGACATCAGCGAGGGCAATAGTTTGCACTTGAATAATGGTAAGGGCAATAGTTTGCACTTGAGTGATGATTACTGATATACATTGGAAGGTGATGCATACTCCTAGCAATTTCTGGTAAGTTGCAGTTCATGTTGTTGGTAAATGTGATACTAACAGTGCACAACTTATCATTTGCATTACTCTTTTTGTGATCCACTTCACCATATTACCTACCAGCATGTTCTGGCATGCCTTGGTTTTTGCCAGCTTCTGCTAGATTCTGCCACCAGTAGCTTCTGCCAGCCATGTTTCACTGGTGGATCATGACTGTCAGAAAGTGCTTGTCAGCTGTTAGCAGCATTTGCCTCCCTGATCTTGTGCTATGGTCACTGTTACTCTTTGAAACTTATGAACATAGAAACATAGAATATAGAACATCAAAACATATGGCGTGATTTTCATCAATTGTAAGGGTGAAAGGGGGGTCATGATCCTCACCAAACACAAGGTCAGTAGCTAAGTCTTTTAGGCCAGAAAGCAGGCCTGTAGTGTATTTGTGACCAGAGCCAGTAACCTTGTGGTTTGTCATCCCCACAGAATATGGAATGAGAAGTGGGGAAAGGAAAACTAAATGTTTTGTTGAATAACAATATTTTCATGCATGTCCATATTCAGCAAACACCAAAAAGACCATTGACAACAAATGTTTGTGTTTTACACATAGCTGGTGCATGTTGCAGCCATTTATGGTTTTGTTGCATGTTTCATTTGGGTTATCAGTGACGTGACGTGGAATGTTTCATAATGCAAACATATGGATCATCATCAGAAATCATGCTGTTTGGTTAGTGGGGAAAAGTGCACATGTAAGAAAGGATAGTCGAGGTAGCTCATTGGCTCATGCCAGTATTTCAGTTGTGAGTGTCTGTGTTTTGTTAGTTGGATTTCATTGTGTTTGTATTTTAGTGTTGGGTTGTGATCTCCACCTATTATCTCAAATCATTTGCTGGTGTAAATATTTTGACAAGAGCTGCAAATTATGAAATTTTCCTGACAACCTAGCTGGGAGAATGATGTGGTTTACTATGCGGCTAAGATCAGCTTGACTTTAAAGGCCTTCGAATGATTCTGCATTTCAAAGGCATACCTATTTGCCAAGCACATTTGTTTGTTTTTCTTAGAATATTGATATAAAAGCACAGGCTAGTCATGATAATTTAGTGCACTTAGTATATTTGGTAACCAAGATGATCTGCAGTGGCCTCATAATTTCCACACTGTACTGATCTCATTAACCTCACAGCTCTGGAATGGTCAATGGCGGCCAAAGGGACCCTGCTCAGGCCAAACCAAGGTGGGAGGTGGTGTGTGGGAGAGACTTTTTATGTAATTTGCCTATGTTTGACATTGTGCCATATGTCGCCTTGCAGTGAACGTCGGTCCTGCAGTAGGCATCCTGTCATGTTCAAGTCGAAGCGGAAGTCCAAGAAGCTAGAGATCTCGGCACCGACCGACTTCCGCCATCGCGTGCACACGGACTTTGACGAGCGGCAGAACAAATATGTGGGCCTGCCCCCGCAGTGGGTGTCGCTGGTGGAACGGAACGCCAAGGCGCTGGAAACCCGACCGCGCGGCGTCGTCGACCCCTCTCATGTCACGCCCACCGACATGATGGACTTCAAGGTGAGTGAATGCTCCCCTCCCCCCCCTTTTGTATGCGGCCAAGCCAGGCATCTATTCTTTTACTGGAGGACAGTTGCTGTTGCATTCAGAACGTTTTTCACCTCTAATCGTCTCGCCGCAAAGCGTTCTGACCGGTTTGCGTGACTTGTTTGTTAGTCAGACTTGTGTGGCAGCTATATGTGCGGATGACACAAGTCATTCATTACACACATAATGCATATTCTCGTCGTGGGGCTCTGTTACGCTGATAATTGACATCAGGCAACCCGGACTTCACCTCGCTCACGGCAACTTCAGTCTGGGTACACGCGGTGCATGGTCAATATAGGTTGTGATAGGGAGCAGCAATTGTTTGACGTGCTCATGCGCCAGTGGCCTCGGGTGCGACGCCCGCGCCGCGCCGTCTCTGACCCCGCGGTCGTCCGTCTGACTGGCCGTCTCCCGCCGGCAGCCGGTGGTGCGCGGCGCCAGCAGCCCCACCCGCAACGGCGTGGCCGTGCTGCCCCGCTCCAGCAGCGTGGCGCGCAGCAACTCACTGCGCCAGCACTCGCCGCCGCTGCGGGTGCGCGCTGCGCAGCGTGGCCGCCAGGGTCCGGCGCCGCTGCCGGAGGAGGGTGAGCGCGACGAGCCGCCGCCGTCCCACCATCGGCCACCGCCCGGTCACGGTCCGCCAGACGGCCAGGTCAGTGGCAGGCAGTCGGTTGGCGGCCGCAGCGGCTCAGTTCGTGGTATTTTCACCGCTCACTTTCCCAGTCATCCATTGCGGCTCAGCACCGAAGAGAACGTGCTCAATCTCTCAACAATGACGTAACTGTTAACTTTTAATGCGTGTTTCTCCATGTGCGACCTATTTACGGGTTGTTTGCTATCTAAGTTGCTGCGCGCTAGTGTCGTATTTATTTATGTGATAGGCGTGTGACGATGGGAGGATCTCACGCTGCCGAAGCCGCTCTGACACGTGTGGTGTTGACATGTGCCAGGTGCGGCCGGAGAGCTACAGTGACGGCCGGTCGTCGGCGCCGGTGCGCGCCCCGCACCCGTCCCAGCTGCCGCAGCACGAGCACCAGGGGCCGCGCGGCCCGCAGCCCTCCCCGCTGCTGCGGCCCCAGCGGCCCGGCTCACAGGGCCCGCTCGTCTACCCCGGCCACCCAGGCCACCCAGGTCATCCAGGGCACCCGGGTCATCCGGCACATCCGGGTCACCCGGGTCATCCGGGACACCCGGGTCATCCCGGACATCCCGGGCACCCCGGGCACCCCGGCCATCCGGGACACCCCGGTCATCCGGGACACCCGAGCTACCCAGGCCACCCGTCGCAGCAGCGCCTGACGCCGCGGCCCGGCTCGCAGCAGGGTCATCCGATGCACGCGGGCCAGCCGCCGCACGCCAGCCCGGCCGGCCACCCGGAGCCACCGGTGCACGCCGGCCACGGCGGGCCGCCGGGGCACGGCGAGCCGCGGCCCGGCTACCCACCACGCCCGGAGCACCTGGCGGCGGCCGGCTACAGCCCGCACCCGCCGGCCGGCCCGCTGTACGGCAACACCCGGCCGCCACCGCCGGCCGCGCTCAATGACAGCGCCGACGGCTGGCCGCCGGCGCACCGCCCGCCGTCGGCCGGGCCGGCCGGCGCGCCGCAGCCGCAGCCGCGTCAGCAGCCGCCGGCCGCGCACGAGCTGTACCGGCCCGGCCCGCCGCCGGCCGGCCAGGCCTCGCCCGGCGGCCACCAGCAGCAGCAGCACTTCCCGGCCAAGGTGAGCGGAGCGCGCCGGCCGCGCCCTCCCGCCACATACCGGCCCGCACGAGCACACGATCTCTGGATGAACCAGTCGGGCTACGTGGATCGGAGCGCAGTGGCGTGACTGGATAGTGTTCGCATGTTGTACGCAGACTACGGGCTTCCAGGTCTACTACTGGCTGTCTGATCACCACACGCGGTACTGTTATAGCGTGAGCGTGCGGGCGCGGGTACGTGCGTCACGGAAGCGCTTCCACGTGCGGATTGCCTTGCCTCTGGCACGCTGTGTTGATGGGTGGCGTGGTGTCATGGCCACGCTATCCCATGCTGGCGGTGTTTGGTGTCGGTGCCTGCCGCTGTGCATCCGGCGCTGCCTGGGCGTGCGTCGCTGACTGTATATGTGTGTGTGTGTGTCTGTGCATCAGCCGCCGATGCCGCTGCCGGAGCACCCGGCCGGCGGGGCGGCGGCCAACCACCTGCCGCTGGCCGCCGGGCCGCCGCCGCACGTACCACCCAAGCCGCAGCTGCTGCCGGCCGCGCCCGCCGCCACTGAGGACCACAACCAGAACAGCGTACTCAAGCCGTCGCCGGCGGCGCGCGACAACAAGCAGCACGAGCCGCAGCGGCTGTCTCACGAGCAGGTGAGGTCCGCCGGCACCAGCGGACCGCCGCCGGTCGACTGGGGTGTCGGCGCCGGTCATATCGGAGGTCCGGTCACCATGATGTGTAAACATGAACCGCAGTGTCGGGACGCGGCGACTGTAAAACCACTGCGCAGTGCTTGTGCTGCACTGCGTCGAAGTTCGCGATCGCAACAAAGCATTCTGAGGCCAGAGTCAGTATTCAGAATAAGGCGCACAGTGTACTCAGCGTGCCCGGCAGTTTGGGTCCGGTCGGCGGCTAGCCGTGCGTACCACGTCGCTCGGCAGCCCCCGTTGGGCCCTCCCGTGACCTGGCAGTGCCCGGTGTCTGACCTGGCGCCGTGTGCCGCTCCGCCCGGCAGTTCCGAGCGGCGCTGCAGATGGTGGTGAGCCCTGGCGACCCGCGCAGCGACCTGCACTCGTTCGTCAAGATCGGCGAGGGCTCCACGGGCATCGTGTGCATCGCCACCGAGCGATCCTCCGGCCGCCAGGTGGCCGTCAAGAAGATGGACCTGCAACGCCAGCAGCGGCGCGAGCTTCTCTTTAACGAGGTATGACGGCGGGGTCCGAGTCCGCGGTGCACCACACCCACTGCGCTACCGTTTGTTGAGGTGCAAGACGTCACCAGGCTGACGCGGAGCAGGTTTGGTTCCGCTCTCGGCTGGTATGTTGGCATTGCTATCGTGAAGGAATGTGGTGTTTTGAGAAGGGAAGTGTATTGCAATTTCTCATCGCTTCCATCTCATCGTCCTCTCACATCACCGGCATTGAGCATGGCGCCGTTGCAGGTGGTGATCATGCGCGATTATCCGCACCCCAACATCGTGGAGATGTACAACTCGTTCCTGGTGGAAAACGAGCTGTGGGTGATGATGGAGTTCTTGGAGGGCGGCGCGCTCACCGACATCGTCACGCACTCGCGGATGGACGAGGTGCAGATCGCCACCGTCTGCAAGCAGTGCCTGAAGGCGCTGGCCTACCTGCACTCGCAGGGCGTCATCCACCGCGACATCAAGTCGGACTCGATCCTGCTGTCGGCCGACGGCAAGGTGCGGTGGTCCGCGGCCGTAGCGGGCAGGTGGCCCGTGCTGCCTCTCACTGGGTGTGCGGGCGATCGTGCGCAGCGGTGGGGCGTGCGTCATTCTCTCGTGTTTGGTGCTTCCCGTCCTGCCTCTTACTGGGTGTGCGGGCGATCGTGCGCAGCGGTGGGGCGTGCGTCATTCTGTCGTGTTCGGTGCCTCCCGCCTCCCCCGATGTGCGGCGGCGGAGCAGCCTTGCAGCATGCTCTCTGACTCGACGGGGATGGATGTGATGCGATGTTGAGGACCCCGGATTGATAGGGGGACTCCGCTGGCGGCTGGGACCTGTCAGCAGTGCAGGCGCGCTCCGCCGTGTTCGACCTCGTCGCCACGTCCGGCTGACACCGCCCTCTCCGCCGTCAGGTCAAGCTGTCCGACTTCGGCTTCTGCGCGCAAGTGTCGCAGGAGCTGCCGCGGCGCAAGTCGCTGGTGGGCACGCCCTACTGGATGGCGCCGGAGGTTATCTCGCGCCTGCCGTACGGGCCAGAGGTGGACATCTGGTCACTCGGTGAGGGAGCCCGGCCCGCAGAGCTGTGCCGCCACAGCGCGGCGGACGGGCGCTGGCGAAATGTTAGACTCCTGACCGGAGTACTGTGGCAGAGTACGGCAGTCGCCCATATAGTTCGCAAATCGCGAGCATTCGATGTGATCTTGCTTATATGTGTATTATTTGTTCAGCAGCAGGTTCCTGTACTCGGTTCCTGTTGTACTCGGGTCCTGTGTGTGGGGGATTATCGTTGTCCATCAAGGCGTCCAATGTGGTCATGCGCGCAAACTATCATGCATGGTCCAGACCTGCCTCTGATGCACTCAGTTAATACCACCAGTGCTGTCCTTTGATCGTCTTCTGTGGCTGTGTCCTCACCAGGCATCATGGTGATTGAGATGGTGGACGGCGAGCCGCCGTTCTTCAACGAGCCGCCGCTGCAGGCCATGCGTCGCATCCGGGACATGCCGCCGCCCAAGCTGAAGAACGCCAACAAGGTGAGAACGCGTCCAGGCATGGCGGCACATCGCCAGTCGAGCTGTTTTGCGATCTCCTCGTTATCTTCTACTGATCAGCTATAAGCTGCTTTAGGGTGATACACGGCTAACGAACCAGTAAATCTACGAAAGGTAATTGAGTTTTGCTCTATAGGTGATGTTTCTCATTTGGCGATAGCAACCGTGAACAATATTTTCTCAAATGGTGCTGTGACCTGTACGCGTGTCCACCAGCCTGGCGCCAGACAGGGCGCGGGTGGCGTTCGCCGTAGAGTGGCTGGCGTTCCAGGGTGGCTGTACCTGGCACTGTCTGTTTGCCTGTTCACCGGCTTGGCTCCAGACAGGGCGCGGGTGGCGGTCGCCGCAGAGTGGCTGGCCTTCCAGGCTGGATGTACCTGTCACTGTGCCTGTTGGTCCACAGTCGTCGTCGGCAGTCGCCGGCCAGGTGTCGGCCCGTATGCAGGGCTTCCTGGAGAAGATGCTGGTGCGCGACCCGGGCGAGCGCGCCACCGCGTACGAGCTGCTGCAGCATCCGTTCCTGACGCAGGCCAAGGGTCCCGAGGTGCTGCTGCCGCTGATGGCGGCCGGCACGTGAGGCGGCGGCGCGCCGCAACCCACGCCGCCAGCGACGCGCCGCGACGCGACGGGTTCCGCCGGCTGCTGGGTCCCGAGCGGGGCGAGTGCGTGCACGTGAAGCGTAGTTGTTAGGACGCGTTCGTGACCTTAGCCTGCCGGGTCATGGTGAACGTCAGCGAGTGTCTGTGCGTGCGTGTGCGAGTGTGGCTTCTGGTTTGAATCATTCCCAGCAGATACTTTGCGCGGAAGCTGCACGCAACCGGTTGCCTGTAGATACTGACAGATCAAAGTCCATGTGGTTCATACCATCAGGTAGTTGTGTGCAGCTATATGATGATTCTTCCCAAGAATTGTGGCAACTTTCCAGACAGGAATTGACGGAGAATGCTGTGCAGGCTGGAATACCATTTAGTACTTTTTATATGACCACTTGGGACGATGGAGACGGAGCGAGGATGCTTCCCAGCTAGACCCCAGACCATGCGCCTCGTACTTATTACATGGGGTTTTGTGCAGTTAACTGTGTAGTCCTCGATCCCTGTTGCTGTAGACATGTGCATTGATTTTCTTATCGTGATGAAGCGCGCGTCCGTACCCTTTTCGTCCTCATCCTGAGATATCAGCACCGTCCGAGTCGTGCCTCGAGTAACGACAGCCGTCCGCGCGTGGGGCCTATGTGAAGTTGTGTGAGCCGCCGTCCGGCATCGGCCGCGCCTGGTCGCCAGGGGCGCTGGTGTCCGCACAGGGTCAGCAGCCGTTGGGTAGGACCGTAGCTTCGGCCGCGCCTGGTCGCCAGGGACGCTGGCGTCCGCACATGGCCAGCAGCCGTTGGGCAGCGCCGTAGCTTCGGCTCGCCTGGTGGCCAGGGAACGCTGGTGTTCGCTCAGGGCCAGCAGCCGTTGGGCAGGGTCGTAGCTCGACCCGTAATGACCCTGTGCTGGTGCGCAGACGCGTCCTTTGCTCGGCTGAGTGACCGGTGCCGACACCACCTGGCAATGTGAGAGGTGTTCACGCAATTCCTAGAAGCCGCCCAATGGTGTAGTAACTGAGGCCAAGGTCTACAAAGCATGATAGATGGGTGTTGTGCATGTCTGTCCGTCCATCCTTGTATATGTATTGTTTCATTGTTGGACATCATGAATTTTTTATTAAATTACTTGTCAAGTTGACCAGCAGGCACATGTACCAGAAGCCTATGTAGGGAAAAGGCTGTAGGGTCATTCTTCCAGCCTCGGACGTATCTTAATACGTATGTTTGTGCTATGTGAAATATCACCAATCTTCCGAATGATTCATGCCCCTCTAGGCACACTGGTCACGTCTGTCCATCTACATTCCCTCTCGGTTGTTTGTAAATGCCAGCGACCTGACTGGGATAATCACTTGTACTTTGTGTAAGTGATCAGTGTGTCAGGAGTCCAGGCCTTGCTTACAAAGGTTGATTTTTTAATATATATGCAAAACAAAGGTTGTTTTGGTGAAAGAAAACTTAGATGACATAATTGTGACTGATAACTTAGACTAGGCATGGAGTCAGTCTCCAAAACGAAGAAAGTCTGTCATCAATAATGTGTTGGAAGCCCGCTGACAGTCTTGTGCACCCAACCACAATAGAAGTGAGAAAATAACTATTAATCTGACAAAGCCGTGGTAATGTCAGCATATCCATACTGGCATGTGCAAAAGTGGTATGTGCCCCTGGTAGTACGCCTAATGGGTGTAATCACCTACCTAATATACACCTAATGGGTGTAATCACAACTGGGGTTGGTGGGGTGAGGACCCCATTAGCATATACCTCTTGCATCTTTAGTTCCCAAGTCATGCTGAAAACATCACTTATCCTCCGGAGGGTCCACGCGGGGGATCTACGTCCACGAGCATCTCTTGACAGAGGGCCAGACGAGCCGGCTGGTGACGAGCTGGACGGTGGCTCGCACCCCCAGGTGCGACAGGTCGTGCACGTGCCGAAAGTAAGCACGGCGCAGCGGCTCTGGGATCCACGGGCGCGTTATGCCGGTGGAGTTATCCATCACGAGCGTCCGGCCAGTGGGCAGGCGGGCGTCACGCAGCTGTAAACCGTGGTCAGAGACGCGCAACCGGACGAGCTCGTCTTCCACCTGCTGAGCGGCCGCCAACGCGTCGTCAACAAGTCGTCAACGGCTGGCTCAGGCCCGAGAATCACGTCGACGGCGCGAGACAGCACGTCGGCGGCGACGTTCATCTTTCCCGGCACGTGGCGGATGTCGGTGGTGAACTGGGAGATGAGGCAATGCGCCGGGCCTCGCGCGGTGAGGGCCGGTCGCTGTTGAACGAGACGGCATGGGTCCCTCGACGGCATGCCGGAAGTGACGGATAGCGAGGTAGATCACCAGCAGTTCACGGCCGAAGGTGCTGTAGCGCCTTTCGGGCTAGCGTAGGGAGCGAGAGAAGAACCCGAGGGGCTGCCAGCGTCTCCGGACGTGCTGATGTAGCACTGTGCCGACGCCCTGGTTCGGAGCATCGACTTGGAGGTTGATAGGCGCGTCGGGCGCTGGGTGAACGAGCTGGCACCGAGTCCGCGGGCGCCGTTATACAGCAGGCGAACGCCTCTTTGGCCTCTGTAGTCCAGGTAACCTCCAGCTTGCATCGCGACTGGGCCTTAGACGTGATGTGGAGTGGGGCGAGCTGCTCTTCCGCCGACGGGACTGAAAGCGGTGGTAAAATTCCAGTATCCCGATGAATCGGCGGAGCTGGCGTACTGTCCGGGGCAGCGTGAAGTCGCGAATGGCGGCCACCCTCGACGGCAGCGGAATGATGCCCTCCGGCGTGATGAGAACTCCAGCTGAGGCGCCCCCAGGGACGCACTTAGGGCCGGTTGACCACGATGCCGTAATCGTTGAGACGGGAGAAGACGTCCCGGAGTCGGCGCTCGTGGTCGGTCAGGGTGACGTTGGCCACCAGGATGTCGTCTATGTACACGAAATCAGCCAGGTAGTCCGTGGAGGACCTCGTCCACCAGGCGTTAACACGTTTGGGCAGCATTACGAAGCCCGAACGGCATACGTGTTGCCTCATATGAAACGAATGGGGTGATGATGGCTGCCTTGTTGATGTGGGTCGGCTCCACTGGAATTTGGTGAAAGGCCCGGGAGAGGACCAGCTTTGAAAAGAAACTGCAACCGTGTAGGTCTGCGGCGAAGTCCTGGAGGTGTGGCACAGGGTAACGGCCCGGGATGGTGACTGCGTCGAGGGCGCGATGGTCGCCACAGACCCGCCAGTGGCCTGACTGACGCTTGGGCTGCAGGTGCAGCGATGGTCGCCGTCATCTAGCAACTGCTTCACCTCGGCTTTCGCAGCGGCGAGGCGGTTAGGCGCCAGTCGGCGCGCTCGAGCGACCTTGGGCGGCCCCCTGGTCTCAGTGAAGTGTGTGACATGTTGACATGTTGACATGACATGACAAGACCACGTTGGACTGGAGCTCTGGCAGATGGCGGCGAGATCAGCCCGGGAAATTCGTCCCAGAGACGGGCCAGGTGGTTGGCGCCGAGCTACAGCTCCTGCAGGCTGTTGGACCGGGAAGAATGGGAACCCGTTACCAACACGTTACCAGAGGGCAGTAGCAGCGCGCGGGCGCTCAGGTCGACAGCGAGCTCGTAGTGGTGGAGGAAGTCAGCTCCAATTACGGCTGCCTGGACATCAGCAACCAGGAACCGCCAAGTGAAGCTGCGGTCTCCCAGCCTGACGTCCTTCGCAGTGAAGCCGTGGGCGGTCACTGTGGATCCGTTGGCTGCGGTGATCCGCGGGCTGTGGGCTCCGGCTGAGCTCCGCGGGCAGCTGCGAAGTTGGTAGGACGCTGACTTGCGCGCCAGTGTCCACCATGCAAGCGGTGTCACCGTCGCAGACATAGAGAATCCGCCCCAGGAGAAGGGTGTCTGAGAGTTGGGGCGCAGGTACAATCAGGCCAGGTCGTTTCCCGCCCAGGAGCAGGGGGCCTGGCACTTCTTGGCTTGAGCGCCAAACCGTGTGTGATAATAACAGACCCCACCCCTCGGACGGGATGGTGACCTCTCTCTGGATCGTCCACGGCTCTGGCTGCGGCAGCGGCTGCAGGGAAGGGTTGACCTGTCCTGGAAGTGGTCCCTCTCCTGGTGTTTGGAGCGGACCTCTATCTGTAGCTCGCTGATGGTGGCGGTCAGGCTAACTGCAGTGGCCAACAGCTCAGTCACTGGGGCTGGTGCGGGGGTGTGAGCAGTGCTGGCTGCTGGATGACAGACAGGCTGGCTGGCTGATACACCGGCCTTGATGCTTCCATGAAGCGGTCTGCCGCACGGGCTAGGTCCTCCAGTGGCATCGTTTCATCCAGCGCGGAGAGGGCAGCAGCGTCTGTTTGAGGCAGGCGCTGGAGGACGAGCGTTCTCAGCAAGCCCTGGTCCGCTGGCGCATGACCGGCTGCTGACAGTTCGCCATCCATCCGTCTCAGACAGGAGTTGAGATGGGCGCTGTTCTTCCAGGTGCTGATTTCGCAGGAACGCCTCCAGGCGGGACGTCCTGGAGTGGAGACATTATGAAACAATTTCGCCAGATGGAAGGTTTTCACAAGGTTGAACTTTTTCTGTCGGCGTGAACAAGTAAATTAAATGGACAGGAAAGCGATTGTAGGTACAGCTGGATGAGTTAACATGGCTAAGTCCGAGTGAAGCTGATACTGCTATGGCACGATGACATCTAGTGGAGTGGACGGCAGGCGCATTTTCAGTAGCGCCACCTATAGCTTTCACAACGCCACCTGCGGTGGTAGCGCCGCCTACGATGGTGCCGCCGCCTACACGTGACGCCGTCTACAGCGCCGGGCAGCACAGCCCGGGACCGCCCTCCCCGTTGCTGCGATGAAGCGGCCCGGCATCCATCCATCGCATAGGATGCCTACTAGTCAGCTGAGCCAAGACCACCGCTGTCATGGACACCATGTGCAGGACTTGCTGCACCCGAGGAGTCTGGCGGAAGGATCGGTGAGGAGGCTCACTTGTTGGAGCGTTTTGAATGTGTGTTGTGTGGTGGTGAAATAAATATATCTATCGCTGCAGTTCGCTTCACTTGCTATGATTTTTCTGGACGCAAATGAGCCCGATTAACTTTATTTCAACAATGGCTTCTCCCTTGCTTAGCACCGGACAGCATGAGCCGGTTTAACGTAGTCCTTTCCTGGCCTTGGGCTGGAAGTAATTATCCCCGCCGCTCGGAGATGGCTTTAGGCCGTCGAGGGAGAAAAGAGAGTTTGCATTGGCCCACTTACAGCTGGAATGGTACGCCTGAAATGTGCGACAAGCGCACCACTCAAGCTTTGTCGCTGTGCCAACCATTTTTTGTGGCCAAGAGGTATTTTCATGTTGATATCATGGTAACTTTTTAAAATAAGAGTGACTTCCAGAATTCGTTTTTTATAAAAATCATATAGTAACCTAAATTACCTAAAATCCTGCGAGCACTACCATACACCACCTAACATCAAACTCAGCACGCTATTATGGCGCAAATTAGACGTGCATCGTGTGAATACAGCCAGGCGTGGCCACGCGTGCTCTGGTAAGGCTGTGAGCTTACTAGGTGTCCTGGGATTGGGCCGGACTAGTTTTGGGTAGCCCTCGCTATATTTAGCAGATGATTTGATGCGTTTCCTGCCGTAGTTCGATTCGAACCTCTCTGTTTTCCGCATGGCTGGCATTATGTGATGCGTGGGCCCGACAAGTTGTGTGTGCTGCTGTGCTCATTTGCGGACGTCGCAAGCGGATTTCGCCTGGTCAAAAAAAGCTTTGGGTGCAACAAGAGCACCATGAGTGCATCTCAAGAAGTTGGAAATGAATCTGCTGGTCAAGCAAAAAGGAGTGGGCCTCTAGAGGTCACTGGACACACTGAGATGAAGTCCAAGGTTCTTGAAAGTATAGACCGTATTAGGTCGAGTGGAAGTAAAGAAGCTAAATTGCAGCTGGATGGTAAAACACAACACTCAAAACCACACTATGTTTCCAGGAGTGAAGAAGAAGTAGGAATTACTCAGTACATTGATTCCTCAGAGGGGTTCACTGGTATCACCAAACATCGGTGGTCTGATTTCATTGTTCATGAAATAGGCATCTCTGGAAAAATTGCTGTGCTGACCAATACATCTGTTCCAGTGGTAAAAGAGTCCCCAAAACAGGATACCTCAAGGCCTGATTGGTTCCCAGAAACAGAGTGGGAGCAAGTAGCCACTTTGAGTGCTGCTGACAAAGGAGCCAGTCCTGTTAACATTCCTGCTGATCAGCTTAGCAAGGATGATAGGACTAGGTATCATGGCATCATTAAATCCTGCTTCCCAAACCTAATAACAAACACAGGCGAAGTTGACGGAAAGAAGGCAATTGTTGTGAGACAAGCCGGTGCTGCGCCTGACAAGAGAAACACATTCTGGAGGCATAAGCCATGGCCTAAAGACAGACCAAAGTTCCTCCATTTCTGCCTGTACAAGGAGAATCTAGATACATTTACTGGACTCAGCATGCTAAGCATGGATCTGAAACTTAAGTCCAACAAGTTCTTGGTAGCTGGCACAAAGGACGCGAGGGCCAAAACAACACAGATGGTGGCTGTCAAGCAAGTGACTGCTGAGAAGCTCCATGAAGCTGCTTCAAAGTTTGGCAAGCTGAAGGTTGGGAACTTTTCATATGAGGACCATCCTCTGAAGCTGGGCCAGCTGAAGGGAAACCAATTTGACATTGTGCTGCGTCACGTGCAGGGTGATGAAGAGGTGATTGCTCGTCGTATGGCCTCCTTCCAGGAGCACGGCTTCATCAACTACTATGGCCTGCAGCGGTTCGGTGTGACCAGTTCGGCCACGCACCTGGTGGGCCGAGCCATAGTGCGCAAGGAATGGCGCGCCGCCGTCGGACATGCTGCTGTCGGGCCGCGAGGACGAGCACGGTGGCAGCATGGCCAAGGCGCAGCGCGCCTGGCGCACCGAGCGCGATCCGCGGCGTGCTTACGCGCTCCTCTCCAACAAGCAGCAGCGCACCACGCTGGAAGGGCGTGTGCTGCACACGCTGTGTTCTGTGCGCGCTACGGCGTACCAGGAGGCGGTCGACCGTCTGCCGCCGGCCAGCCGCCAGTTGTATGTGCACGCCTATCAGTCGTGGCTCTGGAACCGGGTGGTGTCGCGCCGGCTGGCCGTGCACGGGCTGCGCCTGCGGTCCGGCGACCTGGTGCTAGCCACCGGTGACGAGCCCGAACCCGAGCCGGCCGCCGCCGAGGACGACGCCCCGCCGGCCGTCGATGACGAGGCGCCAACGCCGGCACCGGCTCTGCCCGGCGGTCCGCCCGACGTGCGCGCGCTGACCGAGGCCGAGCTGGCGCAGCACACGATCCACGAGCTGGTGCTGCCGCTGCCCGGCTGGGCGGTGCGCTACCCGGACAACGAGACGGCCGACTGGTACCGAGAGCTGCTGGAGGCCGACGGCGTCGACCTCAGCCGCGAGCACTGCGACTCGCTGCGCCAGTACAGCCTGGCCGGCGCCTATCGCCGCGTGCTGGCGCGGCCCGACGTCGGCCGCTGGCGGATCGCCCGCTACGCTGACCCGGCCGTCGACCTGGTGGCCAGCGACGTGGATGCACTGATGGGCCGCACGCCGCCCGCCGATGACCCGTCCGGCCCGTACCGCGCCCTGCTGCTGCAGTTCACGCTGCCGGCCTCCTGCTACGCCACCATGGCCCTGCGCGAGATCACCGGCATGGAATCCTAGTCTGGCTACTCAGATGGCGCTCAACGACGCGTACAGCGCTGAGATGCGCCGCCTTCGGCAAGGCCGCGGTGGCGCCGGCCGCTCGGAGGCCGCCCCCGCAGCGCAACCGCGCGCAGCGGGGGCCGAGGCACAGGCGGCGGTGGCACAGGTGGCGGCTGCAGAACCGGCGCGAGGTGGCGGGGAGGACTCACATGTGACGCCCTCTGGGGGCGTGATCAGCGGAGGAGAGGACGAACGGTCCGAGAAACGACCGCTCGACGACCAGATGGAAGAGAAGTCTGACAAGCGACTGAAAACGTAGACTCCCAGGCAGTCTGTTCTGTGCCGCCGTATTGGCGCATGGTGTCCGGTGATTCGTGATGGGCGTTGCAAAACGTTGAATATACCTTCAGATGAATGGTGTATCAGCAGATTTCATCAGCGTTGTTTGAAATCTGGTCATGTGGTCCCATTGATCTTCGCAATGTGTGCTTTAAAGATGGTAGATGGATGACTAAGGATGGCAGTGGTGCCACGAAACGAGCCGTGATATGGTCTTATATACTTTCCAGCATGGCTATTGGCGAGCGTGGAGCAAGAATTTGTTATCCTGTTGAGGGTCCGGACTGCGGAGTTGAGGTTGTCAGGCTACCCCCGACGTGGAGATATTAAGAACTGATTAGAATCTCAAATTTAATTTCACTGATAAGAAGCTGGCGATAGTCTGAATTCTAAATCATACCACAGTTTTAAAGTTGACGTCACTTCACGCAGACCATAAGTCACAATAATTTTGTGACGATTGTGTCGGAGTTGTCTCCTGTACCGCCGCGTTATCCGTTAAGTCTTGCGCTTATTCCCTCAGTGATACGCTGCGGGTGGTTGGACACCTAGCCGGTCTTCTGGTTAAGTGTTGGTACACGACTGATTATGTACTTTCATTCAACGAAGGCTGCTAAAAGAAGTGGTAGCGTGCCGTGCCGGTCTGAAAGGACGAGACGTAACACAACACTTCGGACATAATCAACTTGTATACAGTGGCACTGGCACTGGGAACAACAAAAACCGATTTTCCGTCGGTAGTCACTTCATCCCAGCTAGTCCGGGATGAAGAGCGCAAGCCCTCACATGTTAAGAAGAAGCGCGAAGTCTCAGCAGCATATGCAGCACTGGCCCTCCTCGCCAGTCCTAGCGAGAAAGAGAGAGGGAGAGAGCCGAATGCGTAACAAAGCCCTTTTTACCGCCGAAAGATGGTCGGTGATGGCTGGGTAAGGTCAGCCGGCCCCATGCTGGCGGATAATTGTTCGCCAGGCGTGAGCGACGCAGTTGCCATGCTAGGCTGCAGCTCAGCGGTGGCACCCGGCTCCTGCGCCCACGGTCGCGTAGCCTCTGACGATGTTCCGCCCAGCGCGTGGCACGAAACAGTGGCTGTGTAAAGCTACAGGGCACGCTGTGGCGTTCGGCAGCCGCGACGCGGTGGTCGTGCCAAGGCGCGGGGGACGCTGTGATGGCCGGCAGTGGCGACGCGGTGGTCTTGCCAAGCCGCAGGTTGCGTGGGTTGCGTAGCATCGGACACAATCCCGCCCTTCCCTGGGCGGGCAGGCGTTAGCCTTGAGCGCCGACCCCTGGGGCAGGCCGGTGCGGCGGCACTTCCAATGATGGCAGGGCGTGGACCTTGAGCGCCGGCTTTCGGGACGTACTGGTCCAGCGGCGCGGCGACCGCCTGCCTGTTCCAACAGCTCGGGGAGGTTGTGCTGGTCGCTGAGCCAGGCCGTGGTACAGCCCTTATTTCTCGCCGTCAAATTCAATATGGATGGCACGAAAGGTATGCAGAGGGCGGAGACGCTGCCGTCTTTTGTTAAACTACAGCAAAGAGAAAGCTACTGTTTGCGGCCTTAAATCTATGCAGTCAGCCGTCTCATTGAAATAGCAAGACATTACATCTGGTCAAATCCATCGGATATGGCTGCAGGCCGCGTAAGAAACGCTTGGCAGTGAGTAAGTACTAACTTAATGAAACTTCATCCTTGTCCGATAACCAGGATAAGCTCGCATCTTAGGGCCTTGGCTCGCATCGGCGTGGGGGACGCCGTGCGTGAGGCGGTTGCCTCGGGTTTTGTTCGGAGGCGAGTCCCCGGGTTGCTCGTAGCTGCCTTGGTGGAGTGCGCAGTTGGGGGGGTTGTTGCCATTCGCGTGGAATATTCTAGAGTTCCACGTCGATTATGATTATTGTTTCACTGTTCGTCAACAACTGCCGTGCCCTCCTCGCCGTGCTCTTCGCGTTATGGATATTCCTTGTCCCGAAGTCTGAAACAATTATCGCGAGCGTGTTTGTTGTAGCGTTTGTCGACACTGTGCTGTATTGGCGATCTGAAAAGAATAAGAAGTTCATCTCTTTGGTAAGAATTTTGGCAGTAATGATCAGCTATTTGCTGGCTGCATGGTGCCGTGACATACTGGTGCACTGCGTTGTACACGTGTGTTATGTCGGTGTGCTGAACCAAAGCACGCTGAACCCATAGCACACTTGCACTGAATCAGTCCAGGCCAAATGATGATTTTTATTTGGTTCTTGAATTTGTAGATTTTTCAAATCATTTGTTTGGAAACATGGGGAAGATGCCTTTTTGCTTGAAACTGCCATAGCAGCATTATACTTCCTTGAAACATCAGCCATCTGTGCACTGAAATTAGAAGTGACAGCACCAGACTCAGGGCTCTCAGGTGATGACATACATGCACTGAAATTGCTGTCTGGATGTCACTGCCTTACACCTTGTACATTCATCTAGGACAGAGGTTGCACTAGACTCCCATCAAAGTTGGGGTGCATCAAAAGATACCATATATGACAGTAGAATAATAAAATTATGTCTTTTAAACTCATCTCACAGAAGTAACAACATTAACCATTGATGCAGCATGGAGGAGACAGTGGGCTAACTCTTCCCTTTTCATGTGCAATTTTGTTGTTGTAGCAATTGGATTGCTCCACAGATTGCCAGGGATTGAAATACTGAGAGACTTAAGAAGTGCCTTTTAACAACAAAACTAACAGTTCACAAGTGGCTCATTATGAAACTATGTGATTGGTGTTACAAAAAGTCTTGTTTTGAGCTAGGGGATGTCCAACATTCCTCTTTGATCTGCCACCATGTGGTTAATACTTTAGAAACTATTCTATTGCCCTGCCACAGAGCATGAGCTTCTCTAAGTGATACCATACAGGGTTGTGAGGCTGAATGATATCTGCTTTTGTCAACATGAATGCTGCTGAAGAGCTGTCACATTTCTTAAGATAAAAACTCCAGTCTGCAATACAACATGATGACTTTTTGTTGTCATGGATTAAGCATATTTGTCAAATCATGTTCTTGTTCCCTCTGTGTGCACACAATGACAATCTTGAATCATTACTTAACACCATTGTAACATAATAACATTATTACCTTGGTGTGCTCATAATTGCAGTCTCAGATCTTCACTCACCCAGCCACCAATAATTACTCTCATGCCATTTCAGCATGGTAGAGAGAGAGCTAGGTCTGGATTTGGGTCATTATAAGATGGTTAGAGACAGCTCAGACATGCACTAACTCACATTCCATATTACTGTTTCAGCTCCCTGTTCCCATCATTGTTGTGGCATCAACTCTGGTGTTTGGATGTATTGCAATCATCTTTGGTGCTCCACTGCTCAGGTAAACTGCCCTTGGAACAAAGTATTGTGATAGATTTGTGCATGTATATACATATGTGTGTATATATATATATATATATATATATAATGTGTGTGTGTGTGTGTGTGTGTGTGTGCATGTGCATCAAGCATAGATCAAGCAGGTATCACAGAACATGATGGTTTCTTTGTGGATACTTGTATGGAATATGCTTGAAGTGTGTTCTGTTCTTGCCCCCCATCTTTGTGCACTGGTGTCACATGAAGGCATTGCTTTTCATTTGGAAGATGTTAAGCTGCCGGTCATGCTTTTCTAAGGTGGAAACCATTGGTTTTTGTTGTCAAACTGTTCAAACATATAATGTCAGGGTTTCTTTAATACCAAGATCATTGTAAATACAATTAAATGTGCTTAGAACAATTTCTTGTTATTGTCTCCTGTTCAGCTTGTAGAGAGTACACAGGTTGTTCTATTTCACAGCAAAATCTGAGTGGGGTGCATGGGTCTTATCCAATTAACACCTAAAATTTCAGTATAAACAGCATGACCCATTCCTCAAAATGCTTTCCAGGCACTGATGTCTTTGGAAGCATTGATTGTAGGTTTGTTTAGTTTTCAGTAAGGTTCTCAATTCGCGAGAATTTGCACTGAGTGATATTTCAAGGCACTGGCATGGAAACTGCTTGATCAGGGTTGATTAACCCACAACATCTCAGCGTGAACAAAATGTAGACCGTGCTTCACATCCTGCAGCTATGTGAGGCACGCACAGTTCTAACAACAAGAGAACAGACAGGGTTGGTTAAAAAGTGTTATGTAATATGTGCATCTGATTGGCTTGGGAATGAAAATAGACCCCTGGTTTTAAAGCCATTTGTAAAGCTGAGACAACTACATGAAGCTGGGTTCAAGTTGAAGCCATTGCCTTTGAAGTTTGCAACTGCAAAGCCGAAGCTGGTGGTTTCGTAATTTTGGTGGAAGCCTAGTCTGAGTCGACTGTGAACTTTGTGCATCCAAAGTGAAAACTGAAGTAAGCAGCTTCAAATGTACGAAATGTGAAGCCAAAGTTGAAGCGTTAGTGTACAATGGTGTTTTGCGGAATCAAAACTATTTAAGTGTCTGTTGAAGGCATATGGGAGCAAACAATGTCAAAAAGGCTTTGCAGAGTAATTGGTGTGAGATGTTAGAATCACATATGGAAGATGTTTCGGATCGTCTTCCTCGTCCCGTGTGCTAGTATGCAAAAGTTTCGGACATTTGATTCCCTGGCTGTCATTAGTCTTTCACTAGTCCTGACAATGGCCAGCTGGTTTTAGACCCCGTCCTCCACGTGTTGGGATCTAACGGAATCGTGTGGTATGTTGGGGTGACATGACGGGAAGGTCGCTTGTGTGAACTGCAGTCACAATTGCCATATGATCAACGTAGTCGGTGCGCCCCAAAGCCCAAATCATCATCCCCCTCTGCAGTCACAATTGCCCTGAAGCCAGAGTCATAGTTCAGAAAATGTTTGGGTCTGAAGTTGAGGTTGAAGCCCACTGTTACAAGTAGCCAAGCCGTAGCCGAGCCCGAAGTACCTGCTCAAAGCGATATGAAGCTGGAGTCGAAACCAGCCATATAAAATGGCTCAAAGTCAAAGCCGAACCCGAAGTTGTATGAAAGTAAAATTGCGGCTTCACGAAGCAGCGGAAGCTTGCACCGTACACATGTCCGGGTGCCGGTAACGTACATTGTTTCGTCAGCCACGCATCTATCAGATAGGGTAGGTAAGAACGTGTTTTTAACCTATTTGAAATGAGCTTCCAAAACTGTATGGGAAATGCCGGATGGCAGTAAACCTGAGACGAAAAGCAACAACAACCCAAACAAAAGCAAAAAACAACCCAATTGTACGTAAAAGTTATGATGAATATCGGTAGGACGGGTGCGCTGAGATATGTCATCAGTGTACTCATCCTACGACTGTGATGCCACCCGTACCACTGTTTGCCAGTGATATCGAGAACACTCTGCTGTTTGGTCTTCTGCTGTCGGCGCTCGCCGTCTACCCGACCGCACTGACATCTGGAGGCAGCGTGACGAAGATCGTCGATAGTTTCGTTGATTTCGTGTAAGTAATGTTTGCCATGGGCTCCGTGAAAACGTGTAGTGATTCTTATAACATTTAGCTCACGTCGCTGATGTGTGCCGTGCAGTGCCGTGAAACACATGTATAAGTACGACCACCAGCGGCGGCGTTGTCCTGTCACACAGATTTGACAATGTGAACCGGTAGCGAGTGTGCCGCCGCGTTTTGTGACTGTCGAGGGGGGAGGGGGGGATGGCCCGTTGACCCGTGTGTGTGCGGGTCGACTTGACTGACGACGGTTGGTGGCCGTCGAGGGGGAGGAGGCGACGGCCCGTTGACCCGTGTGCGTGCGGGGTCAACTTGTCTGACGACGGCTGGTGACCCTCGAGGGGGGGGGGGGAGGGGGGGGGGCGACGGCCCGTTGACCCGTGTGTGTGCTGCGTCGACTTAACTGACGACGGCTGGTGACCGTCGAGGGGAAGGGGGGGGGGGAGGGGGCGACGGCCCGTTGACCCGTGTGTGTGCTGCGTCGACTTAACTGACGACGGCTGGTGACCGTCGAGGGGAAGGGGGGGGGAGGGGGCGACGGCCCGTTGACCCGTGTGTGCTGCGTCGACTTAACTGACGACGGCTGGTGACCGTCGAGGGGAAGGGGGGGAGGGGGCGACGGCCCGTTGACCCGTGTGTGTGCTGCGTCGACTTAACTGACGACGGCTGTGGTGACCGTCGAGGGGAAGGGGGGAGGGGAGGGGGGCGACGGCCCGTTGACCCGTGTGTGTGCTGCGTCGACTTAACTGACGACGGCTGGTGACCGTCGAGGGGAAGGGGGGGGAGGGGGCGACGGCTCGTTGACCCGTGTGCGTGCGGCGTCGACTGGTCTGACGACGGCTGGTGACCGTCGAGGAGGGAGGGGGGACGGCCCGTTGACCCGTGTGTGTCCGGGTCGACTTGACTGACGACGGCTGGTGACTGTCGAGGAGGGAGGGGGACGGCCCGTTGACCCGTGTGCGTGCGGGCCGACTTGACTGACGACGGCTGGTGACCGTCGAGGGGGGGGGGGCACGGCCCGTTGACCCGTGTGTGTGCGGCGTCGACTTGACTGACGACGGCGACCGACGCGGTCCAGTAAGCGGTACGGCTCGCACACAGGGGCGAGTCACCGCGGCAGCAGCAGCAGCTGTCCGCGGCAGCTGGTGCCCTGGTGGGGGCCTGGCTCGGCGCCTTCGTCATCCCGCTGGACTGGGACCGACCTTGGCAGGTGAGTAGACGCGCTGGGGCCTCTTGCCGGCTAATGCGAGACCCCAGTATGCGGCCGGGCGTGAGGGGCGCGGTCTTGGAAGTGACTGTGCAGGCGCGTGTGATAGGACGTCTTTCAGCCCAGATTCGGCATACCACAGGACGGGCTCGATACAGGCGCGCGCTTGCTGCTGTTAGCGTCAGTTAGCCTGTGATATGATGGTTTAGGTGTGGTTTACCTCATACTGAGCATGCTCCTCACATATGCCAAAGGATAACAGAAGGTGCCTAATGACATTGGCCCTCACTGCACCACTTGTTCCGTCGCTGACTTGCGCTGTCATCGTCAAGTAATCACCGTGTGGCCTCAGCTGCGCGCATCACACGGCCTGTGCCGGTGATGGGCCGTTTGTGGGTCGCGCCTGTGTGCCGGCTCATTAGCCGTCCTGCGCACTGATGGTTGGCACGTGCGCTGCGTCCGGCAGGTGTGGCCGGTGCCGTGCTGCGCCGGCGCTCAGTTGGGCTCCGCGGTCGGCCGCCTCGCCGCCTCGCGCATTTGTCCGGCGGCAGCCGACTGTAAGCTGGAGTGAGGCGACACCATGCTGTCGCTGCTGCGCCGCGGCTGGGCCTGGCTGCTGCACAAGTACCGCATGTACGAGCTCAACACGTCCGTGGCGCTGCTGGAGCCCAACGAGAAGGTGGCTTTCCACAGCTTCCTGGTCTTCATCCTGTCCATGATGGTGTACTCGACGTACGTCTATCTGCCCCACTACACCATGGTGCTGTTGTCGCGGTTCGGCCTGGTGGCGCCAGCCACCGACTGACGCCGACCGCCGCACCGCCACTCCGTGTCGACGGTGCACCGCCCGCGCGGACAGTTCCAAATTATCTGTTACGTATACTACGGTGTGGTAGCGCTGGCCGCGGCCGTGTACTGGACACTCGCCGGCGTGCTGCTGTTCAAGTACTGGCACTCGGCGGCGCAGCATGGCCTCGACTGAGCCGACGCCGGCCAAGGTGCTGACCAAGAGCCAGATGAAGCGGGCGGCGCGCGACAACAAGGCGCGCACGCGCAACGTGCTCTTCAATCCGTTTCACTTCGAGTGGCCGCAGGTGCCTCGGCGGGAGGCGGACCGCCGTTCTGGACGCCGTCAGCGCCTGTTTCCCGCATTTCGACATTCCGACGAGCGTGCCTCAGGAGGAGTACGTGCGCTTGCTGGCCGCTGGCGACCGGTCGGCCATCACAGAGCGGCGCCGAGAGCTGCGCGAACAGCGCGCGCCGCTGCTGGAGGAGCGCCGCCGCTGCCTGGCCGACTGTGTGCTGGGCTTCAACGCGGCGAGCCGGGCACTGGAGGCCGGCCAGCTGGCGGCGCTGCTGGTGGAGGCCGACACGCCGGCGCTGGAGACGCGCTTCCTGCTGCCGCTAGCGGCCGGCCGCGGCTGCCTGTGCGTGTGCCTGCCGCGGCTGCGGCCGACCCTGCAGAGTCGGCTCGGTCTGACCACGGCCGTGCTGGGGCTCGCGCCGCCGGCCGCCGCCGACGGCCACCTGCTGCGGCCGCTATACGACGCCGTGCGCCGTGCCGCCCGGCCTCTGCGACCCGAGCAGCCGGCGGAGCAGCAGCGGCCGGCCGCCGGCGGAGGACCGCAGGGGCCGCCGACTGAACCGTCTCCGGGGTCGGACACCGAGCGGCCCGCGGCTGAGGCGGACACCGCGCCCGGCGGCCGAGCTGCGACGCTCTCTCCGGTAGCGTTCGACCAGGCCGACTTCATCAGCCTGTCGGCGCCGGGCCCGACCGCCGACCAGCGGGACGCGGCGCTGGCCCAGCTGGAGAACATGCTGGTGATCGACACAGTGGGCGTGCCACACAAGCGGCGGCTGGAGCTGAAGCAGGCCAGGGTGATGCGCATCACGCTAGGGCAGCAAGGCGGCCAAGCGGGCCGCCAAGCAGCAGCAGGTGGCGAAGAAGAAGAAGGGGGAGGCTAGCTCATGAGCAGTATGGGGTTGTGGCGCTGCGGCTTTTGGGAGATTGATCCCGAGCAGTTGGGGAGCAATGTATGCCTTGGTTTCCCCACCAGCGACGTATGCTTTTGATGCCTTCCACTGGGTGACGTTTGATTACAATGATCCCCACCGCGTGATGATGCCCACCAGCCAATACATAACACGTACTCGCCATTAGCCTGGCTCCGCTCCTGCCATCTAAGTTTCCGAGATGGCATGGACGGCTGCAGATTGGAATTGGATACATTTTCCTGATCCTATGACCAATCCTGGAGAGTATTGTAGCGCCGGCGCCAGGACTGGTGCATGGAGCCCATCAGTGACTGGGATCCGTCATCAGTAACGTCCCGTACCCGACATCATCGCGCACCGGTACCTGGCGTATTCAGTACAAAGACGATCATGAGGCCCGGTGGTGACAAGATAAGGTGGCACGAATCAGACGCGGAAACGTTTCACTCACTTCCGCAGCGGTCACTTTTATTTCATTGGATCTGTGTCCGTCATTTGTTACTTTTTGGGGGATTTGCCGCAATTTTAACTGCCATGGTTGTTGGAGTTCCCTGCCGGCTCTGTCTGGGGACGGCGAACACCAATCCGGCGGCCTGGGCTGGAAGTTTCAACTCTGGCCGCCGGACTGGGCTCCAACTTGAAAGCCGTGACTCGTGCGTTTGCGAGCCAGGTGCAATTGTACGCAAACGGCTACCCAATGGGCCACTTCGGCCCACGTGTATGGCCCCTGAAAACGTCAGAGTAGTCAAAAGTAAAGTGCCGTGGATTATATGTAGTTTTACAGTAGCCCGCAGGTTACCACTTAGATGTGTGACGTACGCGTGCTAATGTCAGACAATGCAGTATATTCGACTCTATAAATGACATCCCCGTTTGGTTCACACGGTGGTACGGCCGATTTATCAGCGAAACCAATAGCAGTTATCCTTTCTAGACGAAATTATACTTAACCTGCGACCCCTAAACCTTAACGGTGGAATCATCTCTTGTTTAGTTTTAAATACCTCGGCATAACATAAGATCGTCTTGCTTTCACTTTGCCTACCTGAAACAACGCTGCGCCTGACGATTTTACAATAAAATGCGTAGGACAGGGGTGCGCAACAGACAGACACTCCCCAGGGTCTTCATAGGACGGGGGTGCGCAACAGACAGACACTCCCCAGGGTCTTCGTCTCCCGGTACGCCTGATCTTGGACAACGACGGCTTCCTTTTTACTGTTTCTTCCAAAATAATCGCAACCCTGGAGACCATCCAAAGTGCTACTATCGGCATGGGGACTGGTGTGCTTCGCACCTCCCCGACCCCAAATGTGCTCGCGGAAACAGGTCCCCCCCCCCCTTTCACACCGGCGAAGAAATGCAGCTTCAGATTTTACACACGCGCCACTGCGCATGTTGATAACCCAACATAAACACCCCACACGCCTCCGCCCGAACGACACAGTTACCAACGTAAACTTCGGTACTCAACCGTCAGCAGCGGCGCTATTCCAGCGCAACGAGCCCTTAATCTCACGGATATTCCATACAGCCCAGTTCCCATTCCCAACCGTTTTGTGGCGACCCTATACCTAACGCAAAATAGCCAATCCTGGCCAGCCCCGCCCCACACGAGCCAGGGTAATGTGCAAAGGGTATTCACATGCGCGGACCCTCAGTACTCGCTATAAGCTCTGAGCACTCTTCATAATTCCCTCCATCCGATTATCAATGGTATGCGTCGAATGTTCGGCTTCCTTGCTCAACAAACTCATGGCATAGCTCCCTGGACGCCTGGATACACCGAAATTCATGAAAACTATATCGCTGACGAGGAGATAAAACGAACTGTGCTACCGGAGAGCAATCGTCTTCCTTTTCCCGTTTCCGACATTCTTGCAGTAATTAATTAACGTTTTCATTTCTGAAATCCGATTGGGATCAACGCGCTTATCACTACCTTCATCCAATCAAACCCATGCTACAGCACTGGCTGACAGTTGATAAAGACGATCATCTCAAGGATGCGTTGTTTGCCAGAATTTGCACAGGTCACACCAAAATCACGAAGTATCACGTCTTCGAGCGCGCTCCTCCGCCATGCCATCGTTGCGACATCCCACTCACAATAAATCACGTCCTTATGCACCCGGTGTTTCAACGATCGAGACAACCACTCATCAATGACACCAACGTTAATCTGCCTTCACTCAATCTCGTTTCTGTCCCCGGTGACTCCAATCCTGACTTCCTCGTTCTCATGGAATTTGTACACAGTACAGGATAAGTATAAATGATTTAAGAGGGGGGATTCCTGCATAAGTTGGCAAAAAATGTTGGTTTTTCCCCGTTGCCCAGTAGTTGTTTTTTTTCTAGATAGGATTTCCCAGAATTGGAGAACATCACACAGAACTGCAAGGTGGTGCCGGAGGGCGGAGTCCGGGACTCCTCTCCCCGTTGCTGCGGTGAAGCGGCCCGGCATCCATCCATCGCACAGGTCGTCGACAGGTCACCTGAGCCAGGGCCGCCGCTGACACGGGCAGCACACACAGGACTCACTGCACCCGAGAAGTCTGGCGGAGGGGCCGGTGAGGAGGCTCACTTTTCTTCCAAGCGCATGGAATGCGTACTGTATCGTGGTGAAATAAATGCATCTGCTGCTGTGGTTTTCCTTACCTGCTATCATTCTTCTGGTCAAAAAGGAGCCAGATTAACGTAACGTAACTTTTGAATACCCTTGTTGTTCACCGGGCAACCGGTTCAACGCAATCCTAGTCAGACCTTACGCTGGAAGTAATGGCCCCCCCCCCCCTCCTCTTAGTGGGCTAGGTCCGTCGAGGGAAAAAAGTGCTACAATGGCCGGCGAAAAAATCGCGTTGTGACGTCCATGTGGCGCTAGCCAAAAGGCGTAGTATCGCTTACGTCCGCTAGATGTCCTAGTGAGGTGGGTTCAGAGGTTGCTGTCCTGTTCCCTCCTTATTTTGCGTTCGGGCTTGCAGCGAATACCAGCTAATCAAAGAAAGCGGCAATTACCTGCCGCACGGTTACTGAGTTGGAATGGTCTCGAGTACTGATTCATATCATGGTTAATGCTAAACAGATGGGAAATATGCCGAAACAATCGTTACTGATCGGGATGCTTCCATGTCTTGCCAGAAAGTGTCAATACAACAGCCGCCCTGCTTTCCTCACGGCGTGATCCGAAGTCCTGGCAACATCCCGTTTCAGCGGGAGCACTGCAGCAGCCATCCGCAAGGGTGGCGGCAGCCGTTGCAGCGGAGCCACCCCGGCGCCAGCACAGACGTTGAACAAGGGTCCCTGTACCGGCAGACGATCCTTAGTGCCTGGCCTCAGCATGACATATGTTTCCTCACCCCTTGCATGTCTACTTAATCCCACAGGCCGAATGTGGTCATGAGTTTTGTGAGTTGGGGGGAGGGGGCTTTCCAGTGAACAATGACGAAAGCTGTTTCCAAATTGCGCCAAGAAGCGGGTTTCGCCCCGGATTTGGCCCACTTTCTTTTCAAAGTTAGGGGGCGTGGAGCCCTTACTACTGAAAAGAAAACTGCACCCCCGGTCCGATGTGTTGGCAGACATTACGGATATCTGCTCCGCCTCTGTTCGCAGCAGACATCCGCATGAAGAAAATGCCAGATGCATCTCTGGCCCTGTCCTTTTCATTTGTGGCAAACCTTAACACCGGGCTTGGCTGTTGCCCGAAACCGCTGCGAATGCTCCGGTTTGGAACGCCCTTCCCCTCCCCAAAACCTGCAGATGAAGGTCGCCTCACTCGTCGCCCGGCCTCGCGCCGGCCTTCCGACGTTTCGATGAGCCGAACTTTGTGCACGTTACGTCGGCGCCGACCGGCACCACGTGGGACCGGGACCCAGCGCCGGTGGACAACGCGTGGAGCAGGAACCCAGCGCCGGCCAGTAACACGTGGGACCGGGACCCAGCGCCGAGCGGTACTCTGTGGGGCCGGGACCCGGCGCCGGTCGGTACCACATGGGGCCGGGACCCAGCGCCGGTGGGCGATGCGTGGAGC